GATATCTGAAATAAAATAGTGATTTAGAGTAAAAAGAAATAAAACTACAATGGATTTTACACTTACTTGCCACATTAGAAAATCACTAAATCTAACTTCTCCAGAAGTACGAATTAATAAGTCAGGGTTCGGTGAATTATTTGTATATAAACAGTTTGAAATTAAATGTTCATCAATGTCTTCTAAAAGAATATCACCACTTTCAACACCTTCAATTATGTCTTGAATTGCGTGGGTGATTTCATCTCTTGCTAAAGCATTTCATAAGATTAATTACAAAGTAAATATAATTTTCCTTAAATATGACATAACTATTAAATATACCTACATGTGTAGGCAAATGCAATGTTAAGAAATGCTTTATTATGATCTTCAGTGAACATCATAGCTTCTGCTATTAATTTTTGTATATTTTCAGGTAATAATGACAAATTACCAATTATGCGAACACATAATCCATGTTTTTTAGCTTTATCTCTGCAATAAAAATATGTATTAGCTATTTTTAATAATTTTACTAAGATACTTTGTAGCAATAAACAAATTTAAATATACTTTTCACTGAGTAGTTTTTGAAACTTTTGCTCCGCAAGATTCATTAGCCCATTTACCTCTTCTTGTTTTCGTTTGAAATTTTCAATACTAAAAGCATAAAATGTTACCTCTTCTATCCCAAGATCTCGACACCATTGTAGAGTTTCAGCAAATTTGTCGAATCTTTTAACATAAAAAATACAAGATACTACATCTTTAAAATGAAAAAGTTATAAATATGTACATTAATATATACCCTTTCGTATGTCCATCTAATTTATCCATTCCATTTTTACTTGCATAACGTCTATTACCATCCATTATAAATGCTACATGTTTAGGAATGTGCCCAGTTTTTAAAACTTTTGTAGCCAAAAGTTGAAGCCAGGTTAAAGTACTATCTCTTATCCATGACATTATTCACAGAAGTTGAAATGTGCAAAAATTAATAACGAATATCTAATACTTCTTTGTATAATGTTTACGTTTCGTGTTATTTTAATTTGTAACATTAATTTAAAATCTTTTT